GCTTCCAGGGCATGCGCCTGAGGCACTATTACATGCTGTGTGGGGCCCTGCTGCGCGTGTGGAGCAGGATCGCCGGCGTCATGGCAGACATCACCAGCAGCAGCTACCTGCAGATCGTGCGCCTCAAGACCAAGGAGAAGAAGAAACAAGTCGGTGTGTGAAGTGATTTCCTTCTTAAAAGGGGTGTGGTCCAGCACACGGGGTGGTAGCACCAATTCCTCCCTTCCAGGAGGGGAGTTGGATGTGTTGGGGCAGACGGGGTGAGCCAAGCTCATCATCCTCCTCCCCACTGTCCCCACAGTGCCCCATCCTTCCCCAGAGGGGATGTTATGGATGGAGAGGGGAGAGCTTAGACAAATCCCTGTCTTTGACAGGTGTCTGGCAGTAGGCAGCACCCCAAAACCCACTCTCACTTGCAATGACCGATCAGGCCATGGATTATTTATTTGAATAGGCCAAGGAAAACAGACATAAGCAGATTCACTTGCTATACAGAGAATAGAAATTTCTTTTGTTTAGAAATTCTTTCTAAACAAAAGAAACACCACTAGTAGATAAAGGTACCTATGTTACAGCTGGCAAAGAAATAGTATAAATTAGGAGTCAATGTCACTGAGCAACAAATGATAGCAGTGTGCAGAGAATGTCCTTAATTTCTCTCAGTCCCCAGGGGAAGTAACTTGATGCCCATGTCTTGGTTGTTGAGAACTCTCCACACACTCAAGAGAGTATATTAGAGACTTCTGCTTTCATGAAAATCATAGTGGTCTCTTATAGTTGTAAAAATGTTTGTGTTCTGTTTCCTTTCTCATACCAAGACAGAATGCTCATTGCTGGTTAAGGAGGTTTGCAGCTAAGATAATTAATCACATGACAATTCCAGTGTGACTTAGCCACGTGTCACAGGGAGATAAGTTGGGGGTGAAAGGTCCTGCCACAGGGGACTGATGTCTGCTCCTCCCTCCCCCAGGGATAAAGATCCCCGAGAGCTGCGTGCACAGGGTGCGGGAGGAGCTGAAGCAGATGGACGAGGACGTGAAGAGGAAGCAGAGCCGGCTGCTCCAGGCCCAGGAGCAGAGCTCACCCTTCTCCCTGCCCCTGCACATCCTGCCAGGGCCTGGGCTGCCCCTGCCCTCCCTGTGCCATGATGAGATCCTGGACTTGACCTACAGCCCTCCCAGCAACAGCATTCCTGACTTGGTGTTGAACCCAGAGACCAGAGCGCTCTGCTTCTCCTCGGAGCCCCCCCTGCAGCCCCAGCAGCCCCCCCAGCAGCAGCACAGGTTGTCCTTTGGCTTTGGCCACGCTCCTGGCCTGGAGGGCAGCACAGCCCCCGGCCCCTCGCTGCACGAGCCCCCTGCCCTGCCTCCCCCAGCCCCCCTGCAGCAGCCACAGGAGGATTTTCTCCAGCAAGACGGGAATATCAATTTTAGAGAGATCCTGGAGGACATGCTGAGGACGTTTAGTGGGCCCTCCCAGGAGAACTTGCTCCCCCCAGAGCGCCAGAGCGTGATCCAGTTCAGTTCTGGGCCTTTCTCAAACTCCTGAGTGCCAGCTGGGAATGCTGCTGTGGATCTGTGTTCTCTGGTGCACAGGTGAGAGCTGAGGAGCCCTGACTTTTCTACTGGTTTGGACTGACTCTGCTCTGGTTTTGAGGGAAGAAAGAGCCTGGAGTTCCTTAAAAAGAATTTTATTTATATCTAATACCTAGTCAGGCATGTGCAGGTTTGTATGGAACGTGCCCAGGGAGAGCTGAGCGGGTCCTGCTGGGCTGAGGGCTCTGCTGGGTTGAGTCCTGCTCACAGGTCAGTGCTCAGGTGGGATTGAGGGGAGACCCCTCCTGTGCCCAGCCCCTGCAGACTACTGAGTGTCTGAGCCTTCCCCAGCCCTCCAGGCCAGGAGGGGCATGGCCAGGCTCTGGAATGACCACATGCTGGTCACTTAGGGAAGAATGAGAGTTCAGCCCCCAGCTTGGGCTGCCCCAGCGCTGCTGCACACCCTGGGGCTGTGCTGGCAGGCTGGGATGAAGGGGAAGGAAATGTTGTCCCAGAGGAGCTGGGAGATGCTGAGCTCAGGTGTCCTCTGGCAGGGCTGAGCAGGTGCAGTGAGAGATCCAAAACTGTTTGTGCTGCCCTTGCCAGGAAGGGACCTTGAGCTGCCAGAGCTGGCTGCACCCCACAGACAGAGCTTGAGTCTGGCAGAGCTCAGCCACGCCAGGATCAGCAGGATTCTCCAGAGCAGAAGGGACACATGTCCCTTTGTCCTGCACTTTAACCTCACCAGGTCGCCGTGACCAGATGTGCTTTGGCCAGTTTCCTGCTGTCACATGTTGTCCCTTCACCTGGACATCTCGCTGGTCCTGCCACTGCCCTGGGCCAGGGGTCTGGGTCAGGGCAGTGTCATTGTCACTGATGGGGTGTGTAGTGTCTTTGCACTGGCCAGGACGTGCAGAGTCACTGGTCAGGGTGTGCAGTGTCATTGTCACTGCATGAAATATGCAGTGTTATTGTCACTGTTCAGGGTGTGCAGTGTCACTGTGACTGCCTGAAAAATGCAGTGTTAATGTCATTGCCCAGGATGTGCAGTGTCAGTGTCACTGGTCAGGGTGTGCAGAGTCACTGTCACCACCCGGGATTTGCAGTTTGGCTGCTCCTGCTGCAATCTCCCTCTCGGATACCAAAGAACAAAGGCGGCTTTGCAAAGCACTGCCCCACCCCCTGCTGCCTCCACCCCAGCACCGAGGGCATCAAAGCCTTTCCCAAAAGTGGCACCGGGATGATTTCAGGCAAGAACCTGGGCCCTTCCTCAGAGAGGGGGTACTCTGTGCCCTAACAGGGCAGTTTTGAGGGGGCTGGAGCTTCACAGTGCCTGGTGGTGTCACCCCCATGTCCCCCCAGGGCTCAGGGACTGGCCCAGTGCCCGTTTGGTGCTGGGAATTGCTCTGGGTCTGTGTCCAGGTGTTGTGAGCTCACTCCTGACACCGACCCGCCCTGGTGCCACACAAGTGGGCTCAGTTTGAGGCTACTCTGGTCCCTGAATTTCGTTTTGGGGGGGCCTGTCCTTACCCCCCTCCCTAGCTTAGCACCAGCCCAGGCTCAGTCCCTGCAGTCGGGGCCACATTTCACCTCCTTCCTTACCTCAACATGATCACCAAAGATGGGGGAGCCCCCTGTGTCCCCCAAAGCCCTGCTGCTCTCCCCCAGCTCTGCTTCTCTCCCCCCTTGCAGCCTTCCCCAGGCCAGGCAGAGCCAGGCTGCCCCTCTCCACACCTCCCCTATTTAAAGCACTGCTCGCTTGGGGCCGAATTCCCAGCAATGAGGGAAAAGGACGCCGGGAAAACCCAGCTCAAAGAGGTTTAAACTCAGGAATAGCGAGGGGGAATTCCCTGCTGGGCACCCTCTGCTGTCACCGGAGCCTTACCTGGTGGCTTTGACCTTAACTTTAAAATATATGCAATCTTCCCTCCCTGGTCTCTGGAAAGACAGAGATCACCTTCAAGGAATCCCTTCCCTGCCCCAGTCCCATGTTTTGTCAGGGTTAATAATATGTAATGTTACCTTTTAACTAAATTATTCTGCAGTTGTCCTACTGATTGTATTTTTAATGAGTCCCTGTTTTCTTCCTGACACCTTTGTGTTGGCACTTTTTAATCTGCTTGTTGTTTGCCCTTGTTTCTATGTATATTTATAATTAAGTTGTATATATGTAAAGAGATTTTTTAGACTATGTGCCTTGGACTAATAATTCCTGAATTTTCTACTTGCCTCAGAAGGATAATTTTTCATTCTGCTCAGTAAAAACGGAACAGAAGCCACATGTGAGATTTCTGTAACTCCCAGCTCTGTCTCTATCTCTTGGTCTATCCAGCTTGCCCCAAGAGCCCAGCAGGGACTTGGATCAGGAATCCAATGCTGGCAGCTGGACTTTGTATCTCCTGTGTCACCAAATCAGTGACATTGAGGGCTGTTGTCCCAAGTCTGTCCTTGGGAGAAGGAGAGGAGGATCCTGGCTGGATCCAGCCTTGGATGAGGCAGCTCCCTCCTGGCTTGGCTGGAAAAACACAGATAAAGGAGCCTCTGTTCCAGTGTTCCCCCAGCTGTGGGGTGTCACATCCAGGCACTGCTGGATGGAAGGAGGGATGGGGTGACTCCAGTGAGTGATCTCTAAATGTGAGCAGGATCCTCCCAGCATCCCTGATGTGCTGGAGGCTCTGCAGGGGTGTCAGACCTGGGAGACCCTGGGATTTTTCCTGGGTGCAGACTCCCTGAGGGGGCTGTGGATGTGACGGGGAGAGCCAGCACTCCCCAGGCCCTGGCAGGAGGTGCAGCAGCATTCCCGCACGGCAGAACCTGAGCTGTCCCTGCCCACGATGGGACACCAGCCCCATGGGCTTGGCTGGGCACGGCCGTGGCTTCACAAGCACCAAGACGCTGCCCTGAGGAGGAGGAGGAGGAGGATGAGGATGATCCTGCTCGCTGTGGTCAGACACATCCCTGGCTGCAGGGGATGTTTTGCCGTGTCCCAACACGCCTGGCTTCTGTTTTGCAGGAATTTCTGCTGGCCAGGGCTTGCACCACTGCTGGACCCATCCCCTCTGCTGCCCTGCCCTGCCAGGATTCCTGGAGACAGGAGGGATCCCCAATGGGACAGGAGGGATCCCAGAGGACACAAACCTTCCCCAGCTCTCCCTTTGCCCCTCAGGAGCACACATCATGCCAGATTTGCACTTCCTCCTCAACGCTGAGGATTATCCCAGCTTGGCTTAGGAGTTGTGTAAGGTCATGGCTTGCCAGCAAACTCCAGGCTGTCAGCAGAGTGGCGCAGCAGCCCCAGCCCCATCCCTGCTCCATCCAACAGCCAACACAGCAGCTCATTCCTAACGCCTTTATTGCAGGGGGACTCGTTACTGTGAGGGGGTTCTGGCTGCTCCTGCCCGCGGCGGCCACGGCCCCTGGAGCCTCTGTCCAGCAGGTGCACGCCGTGGGTCAGGGCTGCCCCACCAGCAGCTGGGTTGGAGGCAGCCCTTCATGGGGCTGGAGGAGGCTCCGTGGGCAGCAGGGTTGGCACGGGCAGGGGGACAGCAGAGCAGAGCTACAGGTAGGCAGGCAGGTCCTTCTCGATCACCTGTGGGGAAGAAGGGAGTGTTGTACCCTGAGAACAACCCCAGCCTCCCCCTCCTCCCCAGCACCAGCACTTACAATGGGATCGTCCATCGGGCTGTATCTCTTCACTACTTGACCTTCCCGGTTAACGAGGAACTGTGGGAATGAAGCAACCCATGGTGAGGGAGTGCAGAGTGCGAGCCCCCACAGGATCACTTCCCCCTCAGCTGTGCTCTGCGCAGGGCAGGGCAGGGGTTCCCAAGGGTCTCTAGACACAGAAACCCCTTGGGATGCTCCTGCCCTGACACCTGAGCAGAGCCCAGTGTGAGGCTCCCTCCTACACCAGCGACCCCCCTCAGATCCCCAGAGGAGGCAACCATAACCACTACAGTGTCCTACCTTGGTGAAGTTCCATTTTATTGCACTAGGAGAGAAAAAACAGGAGTGAGTTTTCGGGCAGAAAAGCCCTTCCTCACCCTCCCTGAGCCAAGCCCTCCCTGCTGGCTGCAGGGCTGTGGCTCCCCAGGGCTCTCCCTGCCACACTCACTTGCCCAGAGTGCCTCTCCCTTTGGGCTGCTCCTTCAGCCACTTCCAGAGCGGGTGAGCATCGTCCCCGTTGACATCGATCTTGCTGAACATGTCAAACTTCACCCCGTAGCCCTCAGCAAATGCCTTGATCTGAGCGTTGGTCCCGGGCTCCTGAGGGGCCACACCACGACCGTGAGGGTTCCTCGGTCCATCCCAACACTCCCGGGGAACCCGAGCCCTCCACCCCGCGTACCTGCTTCCCAAACTGGTTGCAGGGAAATCCCAGGATCCGTAAACCCCTCTCAGCGTATCGGGCGTGCAAATCGACAAGCTGAGTATAGTTTACCGCCGTTTTCCCTCACTTGGAGGCCACGTTGGTGATGATACAGACGTCGCCCCTGCAGAGGGGGTGGATGAGCTGCCCTTCCCCGCAGGGCACGGCCAGAGGTCCCTCACCCGCCGGGCCGAGGCGTGAGGGTTACGCAAGAGCCTCTGTGGCTCAACCTCGCCCAGCGCTGCATTCCCGACCCCTCCGTCCTACCGGTACTTCTCCAGGGACACGTCGTTGCCATCGATGTCGAGGGCGACGAAGTCGTAGATGGCCTTGGCCGAGCGCCAGTCGTCCGCGTGGGCACACTGCGGGGCGAGAGCATCACTGCGGCGCCGGCCCCGCCACCTCCGCTCCGCTCCCCTCAGGGACCCTGCGGAGCCTCCCCGCGGCCCCCTCAGGCCAGGCCAGGCCAGGCCCGAGCCCCCGCCAGGCCAGGCCCGAGCCGCCGCCGCCCACCCCGAGCACCCCGCGGGAGAGACCCGGGCCCAGCCCCAGGCCCGGAGCGGTCCCAGAGCAGAGCGGGCCGGGCCAAGCCGAGCGCCCGGGGCAGTCCCACTCTCACCATGCTCCGCGCCGCGATCAGCCCTGGTCCCAGGAGCGCTGCCCGCGCCGCCGCCCGCGCGCACCACAGCGCGCCCCGCACCGCACCGCCCCAGCCCATCCCGCACAAACCCCGCCCTTTCTGGCCGATCAGCCAATCAGTGCGCAGAGAGGCGGCCCCGGCGGGGTGATGGATGGAAAGATGACCAATAGAAGGGCAGGACAGGCGGGGTGGCCGCAGGGGTGTTTATCGGCAGAGACCACGAGGGCGGAGGGCAAGGGCAGAGCAAAGGGTGGGGTTGGAGACAGGTGCTGCGAGCCGCGGCTCCCGGGCGGCGATTCCCTGCCAACCGGCCGCGGCTTTCCGAACAGCGCCGCAGCCACCCAGAGCCCCACCCCGACAGCAGCAGAGAGATGCCCGTTCCCTCCGGAGCTAGCGGCGGGGAGCAGCTGGCGGCGGACTACATCTCCCAGGAGGCGCCGCGGCTGAGGCCCCCCGTGCACGTGTGCGGGACAGGCGGTAGCGTGGGCAGCCCGCACAGCCTTCCGCGGCCAAGATGGACGACGAGGAGGAGACGTACCGGCTATGGAAGATCCGCAAGACCATCATGCAGGTCCGGGGCATCGGAGGGACCGGGAGGGCGAGCTGTGTGGGGAGTGCCGCAGGGTGGAGGTGAGGGAACGTAGGGACCTCTCCGCCTGCCGGTTGCTGAGCCCGGTGCTGCCCCCGCAGCTGTGCCACGACCGCGGGTACCTGGTGACCCAGGACGAGCTGGATCAGACGCTGGAGGAGTTCAAGGCGCAGTTCGGGGACAAACCCAGCGAGGGCCGCCCCCGTCGCACCGACCTGACCGTGCTGGTGGCTCACAACGATGATCCCACGGACCAGATGTTCGTGTTCTTCCCCGGTGAGCAGCGCCGGCCCGCGGGGCCTGGGGAGGCTCTCGGAGAGCCGGGGCCCGCCTGTGCCCTCAGGGCAGGTTCGGAGCTGAGCCCCCGGGGAGGGGAGTTCTGAGGGCTCTCAGTGAAACCCAGGTGTGGCTCTTTCCTCCTCAGAGGAGCCCAAGGTGGGCATCAAGACCATCAAGATGTACTGCCAGCGCATGCAGGAGGAGAACATCACCCGGGCGCTGATCGTGGTGCAGCAGGGAATGACCCCCTCGGCCAAGCAGGTCTGTGTCCCCCTCGGGGGCTGTGGAGGTTTTCCTTGTCTGTTTCTGGGTAAATAAAAGCCCTGAGTTTCTCTCCAGAGAAAATATTTTGCTAGAGCCTGTTGTGCCTTAGCACAGACTCTTATTTAGCACCCAAATGCGTTTAACCAGAGCAGCAGCTCCTGGTGGCAGTGGTACAGCTGAGGACCTACAAACAGTCAGGAAGGGGAGGGAAAAAGAGATATTTCCCTGTTCCAGGAGATCCATGGGCTCATTCCCAGCCTGCCTGTGTCTGTGTGAGCCCAGGTGCAGCTCTGAGCCCTGCCAGGGCTGCCCCAGCCACCTCTGATGGGATTTTTCCTTCCAGTCCCTGGTTGACATGGCTCCCAAGTACATCCTGGAGCAGTTCCTGCAGCAGGAGCTTCTCATCAACATCACGGAGCATGAGGTGAGCAGGGGTGGGATTGTCACCATGATATTTTATGAAAAATCCCTTTGCCAGGAGTTTTCTCCTGAGAAGCCTCAAAAAGGAAATTTAAACAATAATTATCTGATTGCTTGGAATGTGGTTTGGAGGTTGCTTGCCAACAGGTGCACCTTTGGTTCTATGTGAATTGTTTTTAATTAATGACCAATCACAGCCAGCTGTGTTGGACTCTCTGGGTCTGTCATGGGTTTTTATGATCATTCTTGTCCAGCTTTCTGATGTCTCCTTTCTCTTTCTTTAGTATATAATATAATATAGAATAATATAGTTTTAGAATATAATATAATACAATATAATCTATAATCTATATAATATTAATATAATCTATAGTGTATATAATATATAGTTAATATAGTATGGTATATATTATAACAATTTATATAATGCATAATATAGAATTACTATAATGTTAAAATATGTAATATATAGTGTATATAATATATATAATTAATATACAATAATATTAATATTATATAATAATTATATAATAATATATAATAGTTATAGTACATATTATATTTATATTATATATAATATTAATAATAATTAATATTATATAATATATAATAATATATAATTAATACAATTTAATATATCATTAACTTAATATAATATATATAATTAATATAATATAATATAATATAATATAATATAATATAATATAACATAATAGTAAATCAGTCTTCTGAGAATTTGGAGTCAATTCTCAGCCCTCACCTCATCCTGGGGACCCTCACAGCACAACCTAGGATGGTCCCTCCCTCACTCTGGCTGCATTCCTGCTGCTCCCAGTGTCCTTCTCCTGCTCTCTGGCTGGGCTGAGGGACACAGTTGTCCTTTTCCCCTCCCAAACACATTGTCTCCAGCTGCTCCCTCATCTCAGCCTGTCTTGTGTTTGCAGCTGGTGCCAGAGCACGTGGTGATGACAAAGGAGGAGGTGACAGAGCTGCTGGCCCGATAGTATCCTTTGAGTGTCCCTTTGTGTGTCCCTTTGAGTGTCCCTCCATCCTGCTCAGGTGAGATGGAATCTGGGCTGAAAACCCCTCCTCCTGCCATGATTTATTTCTGTTTTGTGAGCTGCCAACAGCCATGGTGTGTCTGGAGCTTCTCCTTGACTCCCAGCACAGCAAGCTGAGGGAGAACCAGCTCCCCAGGATCCAGGCTGGGGACCCCGTGGCTCGGTACTTTGGGATAAAGCGTGGCCAGGTGAGAGGAGCAGGCTGAGGCAGCAGCTCCTGGAGCAGGGCAGGGAGGGGATGATCCTTGAGGGCATTTTGGGGCAGAAAAAGTGTCTCCTCCTCCTGTTCCTGAGCTCTGTGTCTGCCTTGCAGGTAGTGAAGATCATCAGGCCCAGCGAGACAGCGGGCAGGTACATCACCTACAGACTGGTGCAGTGACACAGTGGGTAAGGATGAGGGGACCCTCTGTTTGGGGAGGCTGGGGCAGTGCCAGGGGATGTTCCAAGCTCAGTGTGAAGCAGCTGCCTCCAGGGAAAGATCTCAGAGCTTTAAATAGCTCATGGAGGGAGCTGATGGGGAGAGCAGGGTGAGGCTCCCCTGTCACCTGTGCCTCTGCTCAGGCTGTGCAGATTTGGGGTGTTCAGAGGGACTGGAGCAGGAGATGATTCCCATCCCTCCTTCTCTTCCAGGTGTGAGGAGCTGGCTGGCTCCCACCAGCAGTTCACGGGCTCTTGGAGATTCCTGCACTTCAAAGATGGCCAAGGAAATCCAAGGAAATTCCCACACTGCCTCTCTGCAGCCCCATCCCTGGGCCTCATTCCTTGTCTTCCAGCTTGGACTTTGTGGTGACCCCTCAGTCCCACCCAGGACTCAGCCATGGGGGAAAACAAGTGGGGAAAGCCTTTTGCTTCCCTGTTTTCTGGGCTCTTGTTTCAAATAAAGCTTTGTACACCCTCAGTGCTGCAGTGTTGCTCAGCCTGTCCCTGTGGCAAAGCCTCAACACTCTGCAAGTTCCCATAATTTTCATTCTGTTTGGAATCTCTTCCTGCCAGGACTCTGCACCGTGGCTGAGCCCTGCAGAGCCTTCACTGGCTGCTCTGGGCAGTTTGGAAGTTCAGATTTAACCCCTTCCTTCCCTGATCTGGTTTGGGACCCTGCTGTTCAGACATTGCGATGCAGAGTTGCTCATCACCCCCAGCTGCACTCATTTCAATCCATCCCAGGACTCTGGGGGGCTTTAAACTTCATTTTTTGTGCCACAAACACTTGGATTTGGCCTGGAAAATCCTGATGCCCAGGACAAACACGGGTCAGAACACACTGGTTTTATTGTGTTTTTTTGGGAAGCATGCCAATATGAACACAGCAAGGCAGCATTGTGCAGCATCAGGACAAACACAGAATCCACACAACCTGGAGGGAGCTGCTGTTGTGGGAAGCTCAAGTGCAGCTTTAGCCCCTTCTCTCACTCACACTCACCCTCATCATCCTCACCCACCCTCACACGCACGTGGTACCGCCGTGGCAGCAGCATTCCCACATCCTCCTGCTGCCCTGGAAAAATCCAACTGTTCCCCTGAAAAATCCTAATCTCTGGAAGAGCTGGAGGGCACAACCAATCCTGCAGGTGTCCAGCTCTTCCCTGGCTCAGTTCCAAACCTGTGAGTTAACCTGGGTTTCTGTACCTTTGCTGAGATGGGTTCTCCATCGACTTCAGAGGGCTCAAAACTCCTGTCCATTGCCTGATTCTGCAGTACCAAGGTATCTGAGACCCTCCCAACACCACCTGCTATGTCTCCCACAAGCAGGAGAACGGAGGGAAAGGCTCTCAGCTCATTCCAAGCTAAAACTCGACTTATCTCTCTGTGCCTCAGTGCAGGAAAATTCTCATAGCTTTAAAAAAACACCGAAACCACTTTGGTTTAGTGCCTTGGCCAGCAGAGGTAGTGGAGTCACGTTGAAGGGTTGATTAATGTCTTTACAGAAAAAGAAAGGAAGCTCAAGATTATACTGGCTGGGGCTGTGCTGGATCCAGGCCCTGGTGGCCCTGAGGAGGAGGAGGAGGAGGAAGAGGCACTTCCTCGTGGGAAGAGTTGCAAGAGCAGAGGGAGATTGTCCTGGACTTGCAGTGCAGCTTTGTGGAGACGAAATTACTATAAAACCAAACCATGAGAGCTCAGGAGGGCTCAGGACGTTGCAGCCTGGCAAATCTGCCCTCAGGCTGCTCCTTGCATGTCTCCTGCCAAGGAGGGAAATGCCCACCGATCCAAATGCCCACCACTCCAAATGCCCACCACTCCAAATGCCTGTCAATCCAAGCAGCAATGAAGATGCCATCAGCTGGGCCACAGTGCTGAGGTTTTGGGGCAGGAAATCCATCCTGAACCCTGCTTAAATCAGGTGTCAGTGAAGGACATCCCTGAGATCCTGGCACAGCCCCAAAGCCAAGCCTGGCTCAGGGTGAGAAGGTGCAGGGGCTTCACCCCAATCCCAGTGCTGCTCCAGCCGTGTCCCTGTCCTGTGAGGTGCCTTCAGTTCCATCTGCTCCTGTGGTGTAATCCTGCCCATTTTGTGTCATCCTGCCCATCCTGAGTGATTTTGTTCCCCTGTCACTCCTGGAAGCCTTGGCTCCCTTCCAGCCTCAGCCAGCAGGGATGAGCAGGTCCTTTGACTCCTCCAACCTCGATCTCACAGCACAGGTGTGGCATTCAGGGATTTGGGAGCACAACAACAATAAAACACCTGCCACAGGCACAGCGCTGGGTTCCTTCCCAATCCTGAACAAGGGTTTGCCCAAACTCAGCTCCCTCCCAGGCAAAAATCCTTCATGCCCCTGGCTGTGACCCTGTTCTCCAGCTGGGCACTGAGGGGCTCAGGGGTTTTGTGTGCAAGCTCCAGCCAGGAATCAGCCAGGACTCCCCTGCAGCTGACACACCAAACCCCCCTGGGCCGCCCCATGTCCTTCCCACCCCTCCGCATTCCAGTTTCCAGCCGCTGGGCAGCCATGGGGATTTGCTCCTTTGTCCATCCCAGTGTCTGGGGTACCTTAGATGAGCCGGGGCTGCAGCTCGTGGCTGCCGTGGCCCCGAGAGGTGCCGGGCTAGTTGGTGCCATCCCTGGGGGTGGCAGAGGTGCCAGGCTGGTTGGTGCCATCCCTGCTCTCAGCCTGTTCCTCCAGATTGCTTTGCTCCTCGGGAGCAGAGCCCTCTGCATCATCGGACTGGCCCACGCTGCAGCTCCGGCTCCGCAGCCCCTCCTCGTCACAGAAATTAACCTCTTCCGTGCTGGTCTCACTGCCCTGCTTGGTCAGGTGTGTCCGTGGCTCCCCGCCGTCCTCCAGCTCTGAATCAGAGTCCACGGAGCGGTCACCGGACTCTGTGGGACAGAGGAGCTCTGTGCCACCCTCCAGCCCAGCACGGTGGCATCAGCAGGGGTCCCTGGGGTGGCAGGGGGTGGGTCTGTGTGCCCCCCGTGCCTCCCAAGGGACCTGTGTGCCCCCAGTGCCTCTCACTGACCTGCAAGGGAGTCAGCGCTGAAAGCCAAATTCCCTTTGTCCGAAGGCAGCTCCAGGTAGGGGCTGGTGGCAAGAGGAGCCACGGGCTGGGAGCCTGCAGGGGCCTGGGGGGGAACAGGGACGGTGGTGAGGGCACAGAGGAGATTTCTCACTCCCTGGGAGCTGAGTCAGTGAAGGTTCATCTTGGAACATCCAGGGAAGGAGAAGAAGAAGAAGAAGAAGATGAAGACAAAGATGAAGAAGACGACGAAGAAGAAGAAGACAAAGAAGGAGGCAAAGCAGGAGGAGAAGAAGAGAAGAGAGAGAAGGAGGAGAAGAAGAAGAAGAAAAGAGGAGAAGGAGAAGAAGGTGAAGAAGAAGGTGAAGAAGAAGGGAAGGGAAGGGAAGGGAAGGGAAGGGAAGGGAAGGGAAGGGAAGGGAAGGGAAGGGAAGGGAAGAAAAGAAAAAAGAGAAGAGAAGAGAAGAGAAGAGAAGAGAAGAGAAGAGAAGAGAGAAGAGAAGAGAAGAGAGAAGAGAAGAGAAGAGAGAAGAGAAGAGAAGAGAAGAGAAGAGAAGAGAAGAGAAGAGAAGAGAAGAGAAGAGAAGAGAAGAGAAGAGAAGAGAAAAGAGAAGAGAAGAGAAGAGATGGTGGTGAGGGCATGGAGGAGATTTCTCACTCCCTGGGAGCTGACTCGGTGAAGCTTCATGGAACATCCCCTGAGCATTCCCCCTCCCTGGGGGTTCCTACCTGCTCAGCACCACTGGCCACCTCCTCTGTGGCACCTGAGCCACGCCTGCTGGGTGCCAAGTCCTTGTGCTCGAAGATGGTGGGGTAGAAGATGATGAGTGCCTCAATGATCCGAGCTTGGTGGGGATAATCCACCAGCGAGGACAGGGAAATGGTGGCATCCGTGGGCCTGGGGCGCATCAGCGTCGGCCCAAAGACGATGCCCAGGTTGCCTGAGGTCATCTTGTTGTCCTGTTCCACTTCCATGATCCTGGGTGGGAGGAACAGCTTGTGAGAGCAGGGAGGGAGAGGTGAGGACGGGCAGGGCTGGGGGAGATGCCAGGGAGCTGCAGCCATGTGTCGCAGACATTTTTTCACAGAAATCCTTTCTTTCAGATTTCTGCATTTTCTGGGGAGCAGAAGCCTCAGGGGAGAATGTAAACAATTGTTATCAGCTGCTGTGAAATGCAATAGGATACACCTGTGATTGGTTCACGTTCCCATGTTTATGATTAAGGGCCAATCACAGGAGCAAGCTGGGGACAGAGTCCCTAGACATAACTTTGTTATAGATTCTTTCTTTTCTATTCTTAGCTTAGCTAGGCAGCCTCTGCAACTTCTCTCTTATTTCTATTTAGTATAGTTATAATGTATTATATATCATATATCAATAAATCCAGCCTTCTGATCAAGAAACAAGATTCTCGTCCATCTCTCACCCCCAGCGACCCACTCAGGATGCTGTAATAGCCATGGACCTTCCTCCGGGCTCCAGAGGCTGCCCACCCCTCCCCACCCCAGGGGACAGAGGGAAGGTGCCCAGCCGCCACCCAGGCTCTGGCCATGCCCCTCTCACCTCCTCAGGTGCTGCAGGAGGAACTGGAGCGTGGCCATGTTCTCACGGGGCAGCTCCCGGAGCAGCTCCCTGAGCTTCAGCACCAGGCCCAGCACCACCGGGTCGGTGTCGGCTCCTCTGTCCACCAGCTCGGGGCCGCCCTTCCCAGCACGGCCCTTGGCCTCAGTGCCCTGCAGGCTCTCCTTGGCCAGCCCCATCAGCTCGTTGTACAGCCTGAAGGGCATCAGGGGCTCCGGCAGCTGCAGGGGAAGGGAGAGAAAAACAGGAGAGGAGAGAAAAAGAGGAGAGAAGAGAAAAGGAGAAGGAGGACAAGAAGGCGAAGAAGGAGAAGAACCAGAGAAGGAGAAGGAGAAGGAGGAGAAGGAGAAGGAGGAGAAAGAGGAGGAGAAAGAGGAGAAGAAGGAGAAGGAGAAGGAGAAGGAGAAGGAGAAGGAGAAGGAGAAGGAGAAGGAGAAGGAGGAGAAAGAGGAGAAGAAGGAGAAGGAGAAGGAGGAGAAGAAGAAGGAGAAGGAGAAAGAGAATAAGGAGAAGGACAAGTGAAGGAGGAGAAGAAGGAGAATGGAGGAGGAGAAGGAGAAGGAGGAGGAGAAGGAGAAGGAGAATGGGGGAGGAGAAGGAGAAGGAGAAGAAGGACACAGAGGAGGAGGAGAAGAAGAAGAGGAGGAGGAGGAGAGAGAAGAGAAAGAAAAGAAAAGAAAAGAAAAGAAAAGAAAAGAAAAGAAAAGAAAAGAAAAGAAAAGAAAAGAAAAGAAAAGAAAAGAAAAGAGGAGAAAAGAAAAGGAGAAAATGAGATGATCCTGGTCCTGGGAGCAGTTCCCACCTCCATAACATCTGGACCTGTGCCAAGCTGCTGAGCTGGCGGCACCTGGGGCATTTCTACAGTGAGGAAACATCCCTGGAAGTGCTCAAGGACAGTTTGAAGAGAGCTTGGAGCACTTTAACATCCATCTCAGAATTCCATGAATCTGTGAACTGCAATGCTGCAAACCTCTGCCCAGAGGTGACATTTATTTATTTATCCATCTCCTGGAGCGTGTCAGTGGAGCCTTGAGAGCCCTGGCCAAGCAGCACTTGTGAAGCTCAAGCCAAAAGCAATGTTTGATCCACCCCTGCTGGGCTGAGGTGCAGGGATTCCCTTTTTTCCCTGGAAAACCCCTGGCTGGGATGGGGCCAGCTGGAAAAGGCTCCCCAGCTGGCAGGAAGAGGACAGGGATGGGTTGTTCAGGGTGGGGGAAGCAAAACGTGAAGGGCACAGGACGTGCGGGGCACAGCCTGCAGCAGAGGCGGAGCTGCAGCGGCAGGGGAAACTCTGCTTTGAGGTTGGTGTGAAGCAGAAAAGCAGAAGGAGCTGGTGTTGACTGCTGGGTGTTCCACGCGGCTGGGGATGTTTTCAGAGCAGCCTTAACGGATGTTTTGGGGACAGGCTGCCTCCATCCACCCCTTTATAGAAGGACTTTAACCCATTTCTCTGCAGCAAGGGCTCAGCACTGATTTCCCCCTCCTCTTTCCACTCTGCTTCCATGGAAGCCACTCAGAGTCCTTGACTTCTGATGTGCAGGAGCCCAAGGACAAGTGAGGTAACACAGAGCTGCCTTTCTGCCCTTGGGGAGGGGAGGTTACAGGAAAAGGCAGCACAAAGGGTTAACCCAGGGCTGCTTGCAAGACAGAAGCAGCTTCCTGCCTTGTGGTGGTGGCTGCTGGAGGATGTGGGTGGCAGACGCTGTGTGCAACGACAGTTTGGGTTACAGGCTGAGGGGTGCTGGGGCTGAGCACACGCACTGGGGTGGCCCGAGGGGCAGAGACCACACTGAGCCCACCCTGGGGTGATTCCAGGGGCAGAGACCTCTCTAAACCCACCCCAGGGTGATCCCAGAGGCAGAGACCCCATTGAGCTCAGCCCAAGGTGATTCCAGGGGCAGAGACCCCTCTAAACCCACCCCAGGGTTATCCAAGGGGCATAGACCACATTGAGCCCACCTTGGGGTGATCCCAGGGGCAGAGACCCTGCTGAGCTCATTCCAAAGTGACCCATGGGGCAGAGACCCCTCTAAACCCATCCTAGGGTGACCCAAAGGGCAGAGACCCCACTGAGCTCACTCCAAGGTGACCCAAAGGGCAGAAACCCCACTGAGCCCACCCCAGGGTCAGAGCCCACCCCATGGGGACATGAGTCAGCCCCTGCAGGGTGACCTTTGCTGGCCCCTTCCCTTTTTGGGTGGCCACTTCCCCAATTGCAGGGGGTGGAGGTTCCTTGCTCGGCGCGCGGGCGCGTCGCTGCTCTGTGGCTGTGACCGCAGTGACGCCGTGTGGGACGAGCTGGGGGAGGATCACTGGGGCCCCATCTCTAGGGCCAGCCCACTCCCCATCCCTCCCAACCCACCCCGAGCCCCGTTTGTGCAGAATTCCTCCTGCCAGGTTGGTTCCTCTGGCCAGCTCCCCTCCCTGAGCACCTCACCTGTCTCAGGTAGAGCTTCAGGACGTTGCTGATGTCGTGAGGGGAGGCCTGGGACAGCTCCACCAGCTCCTTGCCGTTCTCAAAGGCCTGGCAAAGCTTCTCCACACGTGTCTTGACACCGTTAACTCGGTAGATGCCCTGTGAAAGAGAGCAAAGTGGAGCTGAAGTGAGGGGAGAGGTTCCTCTGCGTGTTTGCATGGGGCAGTGAGCTGTGTGTGCTCCCACCCTCTCCTTTTGGAGTGGGAAATCCCTTTGGGAAGTCATTTTGGGAAATCTCCTTCCAGCTCACTCATTCCTGCCTCACAGGAAAGCGGGAGAGGTGATTTTCCAAAGGCAGAGCTTGGGGGATCTGGGCCAAGCTCATCCCTGGCTCCCTGCCCTGTGGAAATCTGAAATTTTCAGCCTGTTGGTTTTCCAGAGGATCCTTCCAAGGGCCTGTGGCTCAGCCAGCTGAGGAGGAGGAGGAGGAGGAGAGGGGAGTGTCACCCACCTTTGTTTTCAGGGCCCTCTTCTCAATCTCTGAGATGCATTTCTTGACGATGAAGGGGATCCCATCCGAGCTGCCCTGAGACGCCTTCGTGAAGTCCTGCCCGAAGAGCTGCAGCTTCCCTTGGAGCTTCTTGTGCCCACACTGGATGGCCAAGGTCTCCAGGCACTTCTTGTGGCAGGCCAGGTAGCACTGGAAGAGAAAAGGGAACCACGTGGAGGTTGGGGGCAGCCACAGAGACACCAAGCACTGCTCAGAGCACGGTGAGAGAAACAGGAAAAATAAAAAATGCCTTGGGGATGCTGCAGCACTAAAGGAAAGCACCATTTTTCCACCCCTGGAACCCTCCCCAGAGGAGAAATATCCTCCTGACCATGGTCAGAGCTGGGTTCCAACCCCAGCTGTCCCAACCCACCTCCTCACACTCGGCTCCTTGGAAGTACACGTAGCTGTTGCACTCCCGACACTTGGAGGGGGCTCGGAGCTTCCTCAGCCGATGGGTCTGGGCAGCCTTGGACAAACCAACGTTCCTGAAGGGCCCCGTGGGAGCTGCCAGCTCTGGGGTGATCCCATTGATGCCTAGGGGAAAGGAAATGCAGGACAGGCACAGCTTGAGCAGGACTGTCACTGTCACCGCTCTGAGCAGGGCTCATCCCTCAGGGCTGCCGGGGACACTGTCGCAGACATCTTTTCAATAAAAGTCCTTTCTCAGGATTTTTCCTCCTGAGAAGCTGAGAGGCTTCAGGAAAACAACATGTAAACATTGATTATCTGCTGCTGTGTAATGCAACAGGTGCATCTGGGATTGGTGTTTGGAATTAATGGCCAATCAGCAGAGCTGGCTCAGACAGAGAGTCTGAGGCAGCTGCCTTTGTTAGCATTCTTGACTTTTCTATTCTTAGCTTAGCTAGCCTTCTGAGATGAAACCCTTTCTTCTATTCTTTTAGTGTAGTTTTAATGCAATATATATCATAAAATAATAAATCAAGCCTTCTGAAATATAAAGTCAAATTCTCGTCTCTTCCCTCAACCTGAGACCCCCCCTGAGACCATCATCACAGGAATCCCCAGAAATTGCTGGGTTTGCCTGCAGAACTGCTGAATTTGGGAAAAGCAGCCCACGGGGAGCTCTGTTGTGGTGGGCAGCACTGCCACCTCCCAGAAAAGGCGCCCCAGGTGTCACCTACTCTGCTCAAAGGGGGTGCTGCTGGTCCCGTCCTTCTCCTCCAGCTCCTCGCTGGAGGACGCGGTGCCGTTGGAGGAGAGCCTCTGGAGCTTGTGGCTGAATTCGCCTGTCCAAGGAGAACCCCCAAGAAAAACCAGTGATCCACCTGCAAAGCTGCTTCTCTCCTGAGAGCTCACCCCATCCCAGCGAATCCCACCCTCTCCCGCTGGAGACTGGGGTCAGCAGTGTTCTCACAGGGCAGGTAAAACGGGGGATGCTCCTGCCTAACTGGGAAGCTCTGGGTTCGGACTGGTTGTGCTGGGAGCGGCTCCTGGGCTGTTGCCATATCTACCTGCATTGGAATCCAGGCTGCTGTCAGCCTCAGCCACAGAGGTTGGCCAGGATTTGTGCACCTGGTGTCCCCTCCCACCTGCAGAGAGAACACACAGTGCCTTGGGATTGCTGTGAGGGAATGGCTGGAGAAGAGCCTGGATGCTGGGGGAAACTGGGGGAAGCTGCTGGTGGGGTTTGGTGCTCCCAGTGACACCCAGCAAGGAAACGGGAGATGGGCAGTGGTTTCTTAGGGAGCAAAATGCCACAGATCTGGTTTAGTGTCCTTCAGGAGGAGGCTCCCAGCCCGTCCTGCTGCTGCCAGCAAAGCCTCACATCAAACCCTGGGGTTTCCACTCTGCTCCTGCCTGGGGGGACATGGGAGAGCTCTGGGGCTCCGGACTCACCTCTTCTCTCGGCTGCTCCAGCCCCACTTGGCGACTCCTTGGCTGCTGCTGCTCCCTCTGAGCCAGCCCCAGCCCCCTCTGCACTCGTGGAGAACTCACTGGCACTGAAGCTGCCCTTCTGTGGCTGAGTAAAGGGAGACCTGGAGGGGAAAAGGGAACGTGGATGGGAGGGAAGGACACTTGGAGACTTCATCCATGGCTGCCATCCACCAGTTTAGGGAATCACAGGCTCTTAAATACTCAACAGCCTGTCTCATCTGGGCTGAATTGAAGGATAAGATGGCAATTCCCAGCTGAGTTAAAGGGAGACCTGGAGGGGGAAAGGGAATGTGGATGGGAAGGAAGGAAGGACACTTGGAGACTTCATCCGTGGCTGCCATCTACCAGTCTAGGGAATCACAATCTCTTAAATACTCAACTAGGCTGAATTTAAGGATAAGAAGGCAATTCCCAACTTGTCAGCTAAGTAAAGGGAGTAAAGGGAGTAAAGGAAGAGTAAAGGGAGTAAAGGGAGACCTGGAGGGGAAAAGGGAATGTGGATGGGAAGGAAAGAAGGACACTTGGAGACTTTATCCATGGCTGCCATCCACCAGTTTAGGGAATCACAGTCTCTTAACTACTCAACAGGCTGAATTGAAGGATAAGAGAGCAATTCCCATCTGGTCAGCCCAGCTGAGTAAAGAGAGACCTGGAGGGGAAAAGGGAATGTGGATGGCAAGGAAGGACACTTGGAGACTTTATCCATAGGTACCATCCACCAGTCTATAGAATCACAGTCTCTTAAATACTCAACAGGCTGAATTGAAGGATAAGAGAGCAATTCCCAACTGGTCAGCACAGCTGAGTTAAAGAGAGACCTGGAGGGGAAAAGGGAATGTGAATGGGAGGAAAGGACACTTGGCGACTTTATCCATGGCTGCCATCCACAGTCTCTTAAATCACAGCCTCATCTAGGCTGAACTGAAGGATAAGAGAGCAATTCGAACTGGTCCAGCCCTGGCAGGAGCCGCCTTCAGGAATGCTGAAAGCATCCTGCCTCCTGCAGGACGGCGTGGGCGGCAGGAGATAACGACGGGAACGCAGGGCAGAACTGAACGAGGCAGGAATGAGCCCTGTCCTCCCTCACCAGGCATTGTGGGACACGTAGGGCTCGAAGTCGTACTGCACGTCGGGCTCGTCGCCGCGCTGCAGCTGCCGCACGTGGGACGCGTACTGCTGGCCCGGGTCGTAGAGCTTGCTGCTCTCACACAGCGTCTGGAAATTCACCGGCAGCGCCGCTGTCTGCATGTGCATCAGCTGGTAGAAGGAGATGGTGGCCTAAAAGTGACGTGAGGAGGGATAGATGTGGGCTTGGTGGGCTGGCAGGTGGGAAATCGGGAGCACAAAGCGGTGCTGCTCTGGGTATGGGGAGAGCTCTGCATCCATCCAAATGCCCTCTGGAATAGGGGCAGCTCTGCTGGAAGGCAGCTCTGAGCTCTCCAGAGCACCTCCCACCTGTCACAGACATCTTTTCTGAAAAATCCTTTCCTTAGGATTTTTCCTCCTGAGAAGCTGAGAGGCCTCAGGAACAAAATGCAAACAATGGTTATCTGCTGCTGTGGAATGCAACAGGTGCATCTGGGATTGTGGTTGTTTCTAATTAATGGCCAATCACAGTCAGCTGCCTCAGACTCTCTGTCCGAGACACAAGCCTTTGTTATTCATTCAATTTTTTCTATTCTTAGCCAGCCTTCTGATGAAATCCTTTCTTCTATTCTTTTAGTATAGTTTTAATATAATATATATCATAAAATAATAAATCAAGCCTTCTGAAACATGGAGTCAGATCCTCGTCTCTCCCCTCATCCTCGGACCTCTGTGAACACTGTCACCTCCCACCCTGGGGACACCCCACTCACCGATTTGATGACCTGGTCAGTCTGTTTGATCACTTCATGGATCTGGCGCAGCGAGTTCACCTTGGTGTCCTCCAGCTCCTGCTTCTGCGTGTTTGCATCGGCCACGCAGGTGCGGTACGTGGCCATGGCCTCTTCTGCCTGGGCGTTGGGAGAGCAAGGCATGGGAACAGCTCAGAGGTGAGGAGAATAAGAACAGCCCCTTGGATCCTCTCCATCCGGGCATTCCTGAGGATCACTTCACCCCATGTGGCTCAGGGGACAGCAGGAGCAAGGAGCCCCCTCCAGAGCTGTCACCTGTCACAGACATCTTTTATGAAAAATCTTTCCTTAGGATTTTTCCTCCTGAGAAGCTGAGAAGCCTCAAGAAATAAATGTAAACAATGATTACCTGCTGCTGTGGAGTGCAACAGGTGCATCTGTGATTGGTCTCATGTGGTTGTTTCTAATTAATGGCCAATCACAGTCAGCTGGCTCAGACAGAGCTGAGCCACAAACCTTTGTTATCATTCTTTATTATTCTACTCTTAGCTAGCCTTCTGATGAAGTCTTTTCCTCTATTCTTTTAGTACAGTTTTGATATAATATATATAATAAAATAATAAATCAAGCCTTCTGAAACATGGAGCCAGATCCTCATCCCTTCCCTCATCCTAAGCCCCCTGTGACCACCGTCACAGCCACCCTCCTCCTACCTTGTTCTTGGCTTCCTCCTCCAGCCGCCTCTTCTTGTCCAGGGTTTTGGTGGTGGTGCTGCTGGTCGTGTTTTGCTGCTCCTCCTCTGCTTTCACCGCCATGTACTTGGCCTTGTCGTGCTCCTCGCTGCGCTGCATGTACGTCTGCTTGGCCTTGCGCAGGTTCCCCTCTGCCTCTTGCTGCCAGGGAGAGGATGGAGCACAGCAAGGGGGTCACCAGCCCCTACCAGGCTCCCCCAGCACAGCAGAGACCACCCAACACTGCTGGAGAAGGGCAGGGTGCCCAGTGCCCTCAGAGGAGGTTGTTCCTTGTCAGGACCCAGCACATCCCTCTGGTTGTCCTGAGCAGCCAAGATCCTGCCAGGGGGCTCAGAGACCCTGGCACAGAGCCCAAAACACCTGTGGGTTTGATTATCACCAACCTTATATGAAGATCTGCAACCCACAACAGTTTAAGTAGAATATTAATGAAGTTATCACGGGGTGGAAAAGGAGATTTTGGGGTTTTTGGTATGGGGGTTCAGGGGGCAAGATGGAGGGAACTGGGTGTGCCCAGCCTTTCTCCTTCTTCTTCTTCTTGGCCTCCATCTTCTGCTGTGATGGTGGCACTTTGGGATTAGTTTAGAGTAGAAGCTCACTGTCTAACATAGGTGATAGGTATTGGAAAGTAATTGTAAATATTGTATAAGTAGTTTTTAGTATAAAGACTGCCCTGGGGGCAGGCAGAGTGCCTGGACTGTCTTGCTGGGCTGACCTCAGCAGGGCAGGAGAAAATTTTTTATAGATAAGATACAATAAACAACCTTGACACCAAGAAATGAAGAGCCCTGACTCCTTCAGGCTGAGAAAAGAGACTTTGAAACTTTTCTTGGGGTCACTGTGACCAGCTGGAGACCCCAACAGCTCCTCAGAGCCATGAGTTGCTCCAGGCTGGGATTGGGAACACAAACCCCGTCACTCACCAGTTTCCTCTGAGCCCGGTGCCACTGCTCCTTGATCTCCTTCCTGCGTTTCTCATGTTCCAGGCGTCTCACCATCAGTGGCTGCGTGGGGAAAGAGGGAGGAACAGCCCCGTGATGGCCTGAGCTGAGCCAAGATTTTGCATGGAAAAGTGTCACTGTCACTCCCAGGACAGCTCACAGGCGCTGCTTTGTGCCAGGGGTGAAAATCTACAGTTCTGGATGCAGGATCCCTCCGGACTGAGCTAAGGAAGCAACACCAGGACCTGCAGCCCCAGGAAGGACCTCCTGTCCCCTCACCTGAAGGAAGGTTTGCTGCTGCAGGGTGGTGGCTGCCTGCACCATGGAGGCCCCGTGCTCCATGTCCTGCTCCAGGGCCAGCAGATAGATGGACAGGAAAGGCATGCTGGTCTGGGGAGAAGGAAAACACATCTCACTGAGCCCCAGAACCCAGAGTGAGCCCAGGAGACGCATCCTTCAGGGAGGAAGAGCCAGAGGCAAGGTAAGGCTGGTGACTGCTGGCAAAAGCCCCATCCTGAATTTCTCCAGCTCCAAAGAGCTGTCCCCATGTCCTCCTGAACTGGGACACATGGAATGGGCTCTCCAGGGCTGCTGGCTCCCAATCCTGCCTGGCACTGGGGGCTTCAGGGATTTGGGCACTCACCTCCTGGCTGATGGTTTGCTTGCAGCTGTTTGCCATCTTCTGGAGCCCTCTGGCAAAATCTACCTCTGGAAGGAAAAGGTTAAAAGTGAAGAGACAAAGGAGACACTGGGATTTCCCTGGTGGAACCCGATCTCCTTTTGAAAAATCAATCAGGAATTTGAGGAGTGAGGTTCCCACTGCCCTGGCAGCATCACCCTCCTCCAGGAGGGACCTCAACCTCAACCTCAGCCTGTCCCATGGCTCAGACCTGCTCCAGAAGGGACCCACCTGCTGTCCCCCCACTCACCCAGTGCATTCCTTTTCTCCATGTATCCCATCAGGTCCTTCATGTACTTGGAGATGGTTTTGGCATACTGGAGGGCAGCGTCCACGCCCCCCTCGCAGCGCTGCAGCATCACATCCACCTCCTCAGCAGCAGGACGGGCTGTGGAGGGACAAACAGACAAACACCCCGTGAGCTCCCATTGCAAACACCCCCAGCCCTGTGCCAGCCCCGGTGCCACCAGCTCTGCCTTTCCCCAGCCGAGCAGTGAACCAGGACAGCAGCGATGATGAGGAAGGTGCTGCTTCCTGCCCAGACCCCAAACCCTGCACCCAGCCCCATGCTGCTTACCTGTGGCACAGCTGTCCGTGCCTGAGGGCACTCCATCTCCTCTGGGCCCAGGAATCCCCCCATAGAGGCTCTCCATGGTCTTTGGGAATTGGGAGAGAAGAGGGATCGGTCAGGCAAGAGGATGGGGAGCAGCTGGACGGGCTGGCCAGGTGGGTGGGAGCCTGAGCTGCTGGAGCCTTTTTGCCACTGCTGGGAGTCAGCTGTGCCCAGGCTGTAATGGGACTGTCACCCTGCTCTGGGCTCGCAGCAGAGCTGAGGGGAGCAGCCAGAGCCCTGTGTGAGCCCCACATGGCATCCAGGTCTCTGGGCATCCCTCACCTGGTTCTGGTCGCTGGGTGGAATGGAGAGGATGGTGCTGCTGTCCACCTCCCCCATGAGGAACTCAGACACCCTGTGGGGAGAGGAGCATGGCTGGGCTCAGCACAGCGACACGGGCTGGCTGCCCAAACTGCTTTACAAACTGCCAAACACCCCCTGGCTGCTCCAGGGCATGGCTGCCCAAACTCCCTTTCCCAAACTTACAAACTCCCAAACAACCCTTGGCTGCTCAATGGAATGGCTGCCCAAATTTCCAAACTGCCAAACATCCCCTGGAGCTGCCCAAACTCCCTTTCCCAAACTCCCAAACATCCCCTGGAGCTGCCCAAACTCCTTTACAAACTTCCAAACATTCTCTGGCTCCTCCGGGGCATGGCTGCCCAAACTCCCTTTCCCCAACTCCCAAATTTCCAACATCTCCTGGCTGCTCCAGGGAATGGCTGCCCAAACTCCTTTACACAAACTCCCAAACTCCCAAATATCCCTTGGCTGCTCCAGGGAATGGCTGCCCAAACTTCCAAACTCCCAAACATCCCCTGGAGCTGCCCAAACTCCTTTACAAACTTCCAAACATCCTCTGGCTGCTCCATGGAATGGCTGCCCAAATTTCCAAACTCCCAAACTCCCTTTCCCAAGCATCCCTTGGCTGCTCCAGGGAATGGCTGCCCAAACTCCCAAACACCCCCTGGAGCTGCCCAAACTCCCTTTCCCAAACTCCTTTACAAACTCCCAAACATCCCTTGGTTGCTCCAGAGGATGGTTGCCCAAACTCCCTTTCCCAAACTCCCAAATAGCCCCTGGAGCTGCCCAAACTCCCTTTCCCAAACTCCAAAACATCCCTTGGCTGCTCCAGGGAATGGCTGCCCAAACTCCCTTTCTCAAACTCCCAAACTTCCAAACATCCCTTGACTGCTACAGGTTCCAGGCTGCCCAAACTCCCTTACACAAACTCACAAATTCCCAAACTCCCGAACTCCCAAACACCCCCTGGTTTCTCCCTGCCCAACTCCCTTACGTGCTGCTGAAGGACACAGCGATGGTCTCCACAGCCTTCTCGAACTCCCTCTTGTCTGCCTCATTGTTGGATTCATAGTGGAAACCTGGAGGTGAGGAAACGTGACAGCCCTGTTGCCCCAAGCGCCCGTCCCTGTCTCAGCAGAAAGACAAACTGCCAGGGCATGCTGGTATCAGGGAGGGTTTTGGGGCTGGGGTGAATCAAGGGAGCAGAGGGAAGGATCATCCCCATGGACAATGGATTTTTCCTTTTTCCTGCACAGCAGCTTCCCCCTCCTTCTTCCCAGGAGTGACGTCCCTGACAGCATCTCTTGGCTCGTGTTCCTGTTTATTCCCGTTACTCAGGGCTGCTGGAAAAGTGCTGCTGGACCTGTTCCACTGCCTGCCCTGCCTCATGGCCCCTCCAGACCCTTCTCCAAGCAGCATGAGCTCCTCCAGGAGGGCTCTTGCCTGTGGTCAAATGAGGAACCACCACCAGCAGCAGCAGGAACTGGGGCTGAGAGCACTTGGCAGGCTCCCACACCACGGGACAGCAGCAACCAGAGCTGCTGGGCAGAGCCTGGCTCAGCTCCTTGGGGTGGGCAGGGTCTGCTCCAAGGCCATTCCCTCCCATCCCTATGTGGAACCAGCCCTGCTGCCATCCTGTCCCCTGTGGTTGCTGTTGGGTGACTCAGAAGGTTGTGCCTCAGTTTCCCCAAGTGGGGACCTGTAGCCATGGATATTTTCTGAAAAATCCTTTCCTTAGGTCCCCTGTGGCTGCCGTTGGGTGACTCAGAAGGTTGTGCTGTGCCTGTGGTGGGTGACAGCAGCAGGAGGAGGTGCCCAGCTGCGATCTGACCTCCCAGACCCCACTCCACAAACATGAGAGGCTGCCAGGAGCAGGATCTGATTATTTCAGTGTTTTTCCTGCGGCTGTGCTGCCTGGAAAGCCCCAGGCAGGATCTGGCATTTCTGACACTACATCATCCTTAAAGCTGAACCACACCAAGAGGCAGACGATGCTTTTCCCCTCTCCACCAGCCCATGGGACACCTCCACACCCCATAACCCCTTCATGGGCTCCCCAATTCCCTCTATGGGGCAGGAGAGGGGTGGCACAGAGCTCCCATCGCCGCTGTCTCACCCTTGACTTTGGAGATGAGGGTCCCAGCGGCCGTCAGGGTCTCCAGGGTGTTGAGCAGAGGGTATTTATTGATGACCTGGCGCAGGATGCGGAGGGTTTCACCCAGGCACTCGTGGGCCAGCGGCCTCTGGGGCTCCTTGGGGTCTGCAAGAGAGGGGGGCTGAGGTGCTGCATCCTTGTGCCACGTCCCTGCCCTGTGTCCCTGCCCCCTGGTGTCGCAGACATCTTTCCATGAAAAATCCTCTCCTTAAGATTTTTCCTCCTGAGAAGCTGGGAGGCCTCAGGAACAGAATGTAAACATTGATTATCTGCTGCTGTGGAATGCAGCAGGTGCATCTGTGATTGGTCTCATGTGGTTGTTTCTAATTAATGGCCAATCACAGTCAGCTGGCTCAGACAGAGAGCCAAGCCACAAGCCTTTGTTATCATTCTTTCTTTTTCTATTCTTAGCTAGCCTTCTGATGAAACCTTTTCTTCTATTCTTTTAGTAGAGTTTTAATGTAATATATATCATAAAATAATAAATCAAGCCCTCTGAAACATGGAGCCAGATCCTCATCTCTTCCCTCATCCTCAGACCCCTGTGAACACGGTCACACCCTTGTCACTGCTCTGCATCCCTGTGTCCCTCCCCTGTTTACCTCCCAGCCACGTCCAAGGCAGGGATCTGCCATCTCCCAGATTATTCAGCAAATTCCCCTTGGCCTCAGGGCTGTCCCAGGACTGGCACAGCCACATCCTGCTTGTCCAGCACCTCCCCACATCCTGGCCCTGTGTCTCCTGCCCAGCCTGGCACTGGCCAGGGGGCAGTCTGACCTTTGAAGCATTTTTTTCCCCTCCACAGTAACTTTTCCCCTCGAAAGCAGTTTGGGAATTTCCTCCATTTCCTTCCCTCCCTCCTGCCGGATGGACGCTCCCAGGGACAGGATCGGCCTGGTCCAGCCAGGCTCGTTGCACCCCACAGGTTCCCCCCATTCTGTGGGCTCCAGGACCCCCCAGTGCAGGTCTAAGGCTGGTTGGGAAGTTTTGGGAGGGGGAATCAGCACCCACTGCCCATCCAGGCAAAGACCCCTCCCCAGCTCAGGGTTGGAAAGGGATTTCTGCAAAACCAGCGCTGACAATGCGGTGTCAAACACCCCCAGACCTCGGGATTGTTACATCCCTGTGTGCCCTCGGGCAAGGAGAGCCTGCAGCCCACCCAGCCCCTCCTGCTGGCCGCCCTGGTGGGCTGGGGGGCCGTGCCCAGCACCCCGTGGGGCCCTGGCAGGCGGCTGGCACCGCTGCGCTGTAAACAGGAAAACGGGCGGGTGAAAATAGCCCGGGCAGGAAGCGGCGTTATCCCAGCCCCGAGCTGCTCACCCACCACTCACCCAGCACCTCTGCACGCTGCCCTGGGCTTCCCGGGGCCTTCTGGCACAGCAGGGACCCCCCTACCCACGGGTGGGTCCGTGCCAGGCTGTGCCAAGGGTGGGCACGCACTGAAGGTGGACACTCACAAGGGATGGGCACTCACAAGGGATGGGCACTCACCGAGGGTGGGCACTCACCGAGGGATGGACAGTCATCAAGGGATGGGCACTCACCCCAAGGGAATGGGCACTCACTCACCCCAAGGATGGGCACTCATGAGGGATGGACACTCACTGAGGGTGGGCACTCACCCCAAGGATGGGCACTCATGAGGGATGGACACTCACTGAGGGTGGGCACTCACCCCAAGGATGGGCACTCACCAAGGGATGGGCACTCACGGAGGGTGGGCACTCACTGAGGGATGGGCATTCACCAAGGATGGGCACTCAGCGAGGGATGGGCACTCACCCCAAGGGTGGGCACTCACCCCAAAGGGTGGGCACTCACTGAGGGATGGGCATTCACCAAGGATGGGCACTCAGCGAGGGATGGGCACTCACCAAGGGCGGGCACTCACCCCAAGGGATGGGCACTCACAAGGGATGGGCACTCAGCGAGGCATGGGCACTCCCTGAGGGCACTCACCATCTCGCAGCACCACGTCCCGCAGTTTCTCCAGGGCCTCGGCGAAGCGCGCCACGTCTGCCAGCAGCTGCGAGATGTCCTCGGGGTCGATGAAGGGACCGTCCCCGCCCTCCATGGGGCTGTAGCACAGCGGGGTCTTGTGGCCCTTGGGCAGGGGGAAGCCGGCGGCGCTGGCATGGCGGCTCAGGCTGGTGGGGCGCTTCAGGGTGCCCACAGCGCCAGGGCTGCTGCTGAGCTTGGCACTGCCCGCGGGCAGCTCCGCCACGCTGCAGCCCGGGGCGTCCAGGCAATCCTTGCGGGAGAGCTCCTGGGGAGCAGGGGGAGTGTGAGGATGCAGCAGGGTGGGAGCACAGAGAGGCAAGCAATCCTTGCCTCCATCCTGGAGAACAAGCTGTTTCCTTGGGGGGACTGGTGTTGTGCCTCAGTTTCCCCAGGTAGGGATCTGTAGCCATGATATTTTCTGAAAAATCCTTTCCTTAGGATTTTTTTCCTCCTGAGGAGCTGAGGCCTCAGGAGCAAAATGCAAACAATGACTATCTGCTGCTGTGGAATGCAACAGGTGGGTCTGGGATTGGTCTCATGTGGTTGTTTCTAATTAATGGCCAATCACAGTCAGCTGGCTTGGACTCTCCTTTGTTATCATTCCTTTCTATTCTTAGCTAGCCTTCTGGTAAAATCCTTTCTTCTATTCTTTTAGTATAGTTTTAATGTAATATATATAATAAAATAATAAATCAAACTTTCTGAAACATGGAGTCAGATCCTCGTCTCTTCCCTCATCCTCAGACCCCTGTGAACACCATCACAGGGATCCCCTTGGGGACTGTCATGGGACAGTGGGCAGGGTCTGGGCACTCCCCTGGCTGCCCCATCAGTCCCCGCCAGCTCCTCTGGGTCTGTTTTGTCATGAGATGCACACAGTGACAGCGTTGGTGACACTGTGTCCACCCCAGCACCCACAGTGATGGGGCTGTCCATCCCAGGGGGTTGGGGACCCCAAAAGAGCAAAATGGCAGCAGGATCCGGCCCACATATCTCTTCCTCTTTTTCAGCTGGGTAAGGAGGCAGAGACAGAGACACCTCCCAAAGTATTGTTTGGGCTTTGCAGGTGTTTTACAGATGAAGAAAGCCCCAGATTTCTAGGGGTAAAATTGCATTTCTAGAGGTAAAATGGCAGCAGGATCCGGCCCACATAGCTCTTCCTCTTTTTCAGCTGTTCCCATGCTGGGTAAGGAGGCAGAGACAGAGACAGAGACAGAGACAGAGACAGAGACACCTCCCAAAGTATTGTTTGGGCTTTGCAGGTGTATTACAGATGGAGGAAGCCCCAAATTTCTGGGGGTAAAATTGCATTTCTAGGGGTAAAATCGCACTGAGGAAGGTCTGGTACCCCTCCCTCAGCGTTCAGAGCTGTCATGGCTTGAGAGCCCCACATCCACTGAGAATCCCTGGGCACGGGGAGGGGACCCCGCAGCCCCTCAGCATCTCCCACCGGTGCCCCCCAGCACCCGGTCTGACACGAACGTGCCGAGCCTGAGCATCCCCGGCCGGGCGCTGCCGGAAGCGGTTTTGCACCGGGGAGCCCACACGGAGCACCGAGAACACGAAGGCGAACGGGGGAGCCCATCCCCACCACGGGGCTGCAAGGAGGCACAGAGCCCCCCGCCCCAAAACTCCTTTGGGGGCCACCCCAGCCCTGTCCCGGGTTAGAGCGGCCCCGGTGCCTCCCGTCCCTCCCTCCGGTGCCCTGATGTACCGTCAGCCTCACGGTGGGCGTGCGGGGCAGCGAGTCCAGGGATCGCTGGGGGTGGTGGGCTCTGCCCGCCGCTGCCGAGGGGCTGTAGCTTTTCCTGCCCGCAGCCCGACCGAGCATCCCGCTGGCTGCCACCCATAGGCCCCGGGGATGGGGACGGGGACGGGTGCCCCGTGCTAAGGAGCCGCCCAGGGGCTCCGGGTCGCCGTCCGCATGGTGCCAGCCCGGTGTGGCCGCACGCACCGGGAGCGGGGCGCAGGCGCGGGGAGCACCGGGGAGCCCCGGCGGGCAGCGTTTCCTCCCGGCCCCGCCGGTACCGGGGGGAGTTCTTGCACAAAGCGATAAATAAATATCTGGCAGAGCCAAAGCACCGGGGATGGCCGAGCCTGCGGCGGCCCCGCTCCCATGCCGGTCACCAGGCAGGTCTGTGGGTCTGTGTGTCCTTCCCAAAGGCTCGGAGGGAGCCCCCCCATTTCCTCCCTGTCCCTTCCTGCCCTCCCGCCTCCCTCGGCGGCTGCTCCGTCCCCTTCCTCAGGGGCAAAATTCTCCCCCACGGGGGTTTTTCTCATTTTCTCCTCTTCACAAACTTCCTGGAAGCATCCAGGACCCCAATGCCAAGCTCTGGCTCTACCCTGGGTAGAGCCCCCACCGTGCCAGGGGTGACACTCACCGGCAGGGTCTGTGGGACGGGGCTTCCAGCCCGGCTCTTCTTGGAGATGGAGGGGGTTTTTATCAGCTCTCGCTTTTTCCTGGAGAACATCGTTCCCGGGGGGCCGAGGCGCTGCCCGGAGCCCCTCGCTCGGCCCGTTCGTGCCTGTTCCTCACGGTCACATTCGCGGGGAGCAGGGGCAGGAGGGCGCGTGTGACGCCGCCTCGTTTCCTCATCGGCTTCGCAGCCCGACCTGAAACAGGAAAAAGCCGAACGCGCACCCAGGAGGGAGGCCGGGGCCGGGGGCACCCCGGCTGCCCTGCGGGGTCACGGGGGGCAGCGGGACCCCCGCACTCGTGGGGCTTTGAGGGGGTTTGGGTGCTGCACTTCGGGGATTACAGAGGTGGAGGGGTGGGGGTGAGCCCCATTCTGTGGAACCAGTGAGGAACTCCCACCCTCACCCTGTTTGGGGGTGTCCATCCATCCAGGGATGACAAATTCCGTCCCTCTGAAAGCCCCAGGTGCGGGGTTGAGTGGGATGGGGGGCTCTGGGCTGTCACTTGTGGGATGCTCACGGCTCTGCCCTTCCGTGGGGTCGGTGTGGGTGCCGGGACCGGCCCTATGGGGTCACAGCCCTGCTCCTGTCCTCCTGTCCTCTGTGCACCCACATCCCACCCGTGACTTTCCCACTCGGGACGGCTGCCGCCCCTGCGGGCTGTCGAGGGGTTTTGCTGTCCCCTTCCCCGCTCTCCTTCATCCCGGGACCGCCGAACCGGGCCGGACCGTACCGGGCCGTCCCGCGTGGGGACACGGGCACGGAGGAGGGCAGGACGCGGTCGGGGATGGGTGGAGGTGCGGGGACGATGGAAAGGGCACGCGTGGCCTGAGTGTGTGCGTGACCGTGGGTGAGCACAGGAAGGTGCGTGTCAATGTGTGAGAGAGCGAGTGAATGTGTGAGTGGGTGTGCGTGGGTCGGGGGGTGCGTGTGGGTGTGTGTGGGTGTGTTTGGGGTGTTTGGGGTGTGTTTGGGGTGTGTGTGTTGTGTGTGCGCGCACAACGCGTGCCCGTGGGCCAGGGCGCTCACTCCCGTGTGCAGGGATGCACACGCGTGTGTCCGTCTGTCTCTGTGTGTCCGTCTGTCTCTGTGTGTGTGTCTGTCCGTCTGTCTCTGTGTGTTTGTACCCTGTGCCCGGGAGGGCTCCAGTTCCAGCCCCGGGTTCCCCCGGCTCCCGGTGCCTCCCGGTGCTCCCCGAGTGACACTATCGGGGTTCGTGACCCTCCCCTCGATCCGTTTTGGATCCTGCCCTTATTTGGACATTTCTCCCTCCAATCAACGCCGGGGGGGGCCGGGCCCGACCCCGCCCCTGCCCCCGCCCCGCCCGAGCCCGCTCCGGTACCGGCCCCGTTGCCCGCTCCCCTCTCCGGTACCGGCTCCGTTCCCGGCCATGAGCAGCTCCCAGTTCAACAAGGGCCCGTCCTACGGGCTCTCCGCCGAAGTCAGGAACCGGGTGAGCCGCGGCGGGGGCCCGGGACCAGCGGGCGCGGGTGAAGCGGGGCTGGGGGATACCGAGGCCACCGGCGCTTCTGGGGCCCGGGAGAGCCGAGCATGCCGGTGCTGCTGGGGCGTCCCGGTTGCGTCCCGGGTTCTGGAGAGGCGGGAGTTTATCCGGTATGCCCCAGGACTGCAGAGCCGGCCAGGAGTGGAGAAGTTGGGGGATTTCGGGAAGATGGAAATCCGGGGCTGCCCGGGAGGATGCGGAACTGAAGGACCCAGAGGTCTCTGAGGGTTGGGGACACCGAAGCTGGGCTCGCAGTCTCGGGGTGCCCTGAACCTGCCTGGAGGGTCCCAGGACGTGTTTGGGGACCGCGGTTGGGTCCCTCCCGTGCGGTGGCTCCGCTGTCCCGGGCAAACCGCGGGGAGCCCTTCCCGTCACTCTCGGGCTGGGGGCATCTCCTCGATCCTCCGCGGCTCCGGACCAGCTCCACAAAGCTCCTCCACTTTCTGTTTCACTTCCCCGCAGCTCCGCATCGCTGTACGGGATGCTCCGACCCTCAGCATCCTCGCGGTTTTCTCCGGGGATGCGGTTTTGGTCCCGGTGGCTTCCCCGGGAGGGGAAGGAGGGTTGGGAGCCTCCGGCTGAGCTGTTTGCACCCCTAGGCGGGCAGAAATCGAGCCGTGGTCACCTCAGGGCTGGTGGCCGGTGGTTTGAGTGTGTTCTGCTCCAGGGCAGTCAGGAGAAGGGACAAGTGGTGGCGGGATGTGGTGGCGGGATGTGTTGGCTCCTTATGGGAATTTGGGATTTGCATTTCGTAACGGGAGCGCGGATGGGATGAGCCCCGGCCTGCCCGGGGCTGGGCTGCCCCAGCTGAGAGGGTGACACGCACCGGGGCCTTGGTGCTTCGTGTTGATTCAGCAAGACGTGAGCCAGTCCGACTGCCCCGGTGTGTGTGATGGAGGTGACATCACCCACTGGGAACCAGTCGGACCAGTGACATGCTCCCAGTCTGTGGGAGCCCTGGTCCACTGTGCACTCCCCATGCCCTGGGAAATCCTCAGGCTGGCCGTGGGGAGGGAAGAGGAACTGGCTTCAGCTGCTCACACTCCAGACAATCAGCTGGTGGGACTGTAGAGTCCTGCAGGCAGGACACACACGGTGTTATGGGGGTGATCTGTGTCCTACGTGGGTCCAGCTTCAGTTTGGGACTGGAGTGTCCCAGCTGTGCCCATCCCAGTGTCCCCCTGTGTCCAGGATCCCCAGGAACTCATGGCACATAACAGGACCACTATGGGTGGGAGGTTGGTGGATGCTCTGAGGCCACCCCCAGGTGCCAGCTGAGCACCAGAGGGGCTGTGCTGGGGCAGGACAACACTCAGAGTTTCCAGGCCCTTCCCTCCCTAGGCCAGGAGAACTTTCTCTTCCCTTGTGGGTCAGAGGCTGAGACGACAGAGATGCTGCTGGCCCTGGCAGCTGGTCTGCATTTGGGAGGAGACGTCCACATTCCTGGCATAGCCGCGGTGAGGGAGGAATCTGTGCTGGAGGCTGGGCCTCGACAGAAGGGAAAGGGAGAGCATCTCGTGGCCAGCACCCCTGGGGCTCACAGCTGAGCTCCCACCAGACCCTGGGGCTCAGAACTGAGCTCCCACCAGACCCCTGGGACTCACAGCTGAGCTCCCACCAGACCCTGGGGCTCAGAACTGAGCTCCCACCAGACCCCTGGGACTCACAGCTGAGCTCCCACCAGGACCCTGGGGCTCAGAGCTGAGCTCCAGCAAACAGCAGAGACAAATCCAGGGGGTCACTCCCCCCTAACCCCATGGGCAGCCCCTTCTCATGCTTTTGGAATGGTTCACAAGCTGCTGTGTGTGCTGGCAGCATCACCCTCATGCTCCTGTCCCTGCTGCCATACCAGGGAGGGGGGCACTGTCCCCATGAGGAGTTTGGGGTGCACGTGGGGCTCTCCCTGAGCTGTCCCCTCACTGTCCCCCAGCTTGCCCAGAAGTATGATCCACAGAAGGAGGCTGAGCTGCGGATGTGGATCGAGAGCGTGACAGGAAAACAGATTGGACCTGACTTCCAGAAGGGGCTCAAGGACGGGGTGATCCTCTGCGAGTGAGTCCTGGGGTGTCCCTGAGCACGGCCCCCAGCCCCTGCTGCTCCAGCTGGGAGGAGATGGGGGTACCAAGGAGCCTCACCAGCCCTTGTGGTGGGAAGGGTGGGCTGGATGTGTGCCAGAGCCACCCCCAAAGCTTCTGTGTCTGGGGAGAGCCCTGAGGACAAACAGGGACCTGGAGGGGGAAATTTGCCTCACATAGAGGAGGCTTGGGCTGGACTTTCTCAAAAGGAGCCTATGCCCTGCAGCTCCTTGAGGTTTTTCCTGCCACAGCCTCATGTCCCCCTGCCTCCCTCCAGGCTCATGAACAAGCTGCAGCCCAACTCGGTGAGGAAGATCAACCACTCGGCTCAGAACTGGCACCAGGTAGGTGCAGCTCTGCTGCCCCCTCTCTGCTGTTCCTCTGCCGTCACCCTCCAGGGCTCACCCCTCTGCCTCTCCCCAGCTCGAGAACCTCTCCAACTTCATCAAGGCCATGGCCAGCTATGGCATGAACCCCGTGGACCTCTTTGAAGCCAATGACCTTTTTGAGAGCGGGAACCTGACGCAGGTGCAGGTGTCGCTGCTGGCGCTGGCGGGAATGGTGAGCACAGAGGGAGGATGAGCAGTTTGGGACCCTGACTTTGGGGTGATGCCTGTGGGATCCCACAGCTCCCCCTGCCCAGGGAGTGGGTGGGGGGTTTGGGACCCTTCCTCACAGCCGCTCCTGGCAGGCCAAGACGAAGGGGCTGCAGAGCGGGGTGGACATCGGCGTGAAGTACTCGGAGAAGCAGCAGAGGAATTTTGATGAGGCCAAGATGAAGGCTGGGCACTGTGTGATTGGGCTGCAGGTGAGCTGCCATGGCTGGGATCTGGGCAA